AAAAACACTCGTCAGTTTAATCATGCATGCAACTGACGGGACCGATCGCGGGTCAACTTTAGTTAGCCAGCGCGATGTTGATTCCTGGCGCCTTGTTTCTCGAGGCCGCCTCGTGGGTCGGCTACTGATGCTGGACAGCATAAGGCAGATGGCATGCGCAGTGCACTCAGAGCTACAGATCTAAACACTCTTGCATTCTCGGACAAAATCCCGACGACAATCGTCTAATAAAAAAGGGTCACACGTCTCTATGCATGCATAGGTGCGAAAATGAGACATGTACAAGGAAGGATAGATCGCATTGCATAGTACAGACGCATCCACCGTTCACAAGACAAGAAGACAGGGTCCTTGCATAGGAGGATTACCCAGGAAACTAATGGAAGAGTTCCAGAAGAAGTTCTTTCACCCAGAAACAGGATGCAAACTCATTCTCATTCAGGAGAGGGACAATCATTCAGACGCATCATCCTTCAAAAAGAGGAAGAGAAAGAGAGAGAAAGAGAGAGTCGAGGGAAAGAAAATCAAAATAGAAGATGACAAGATCCGGAAAGAGAAAAGTTTGGCGTTGCCGCCGTACACTCACGCCAAAGATAACAATCCACAACAAAGGCACGTTCGCCGTTAATTCCAATATGGCCCCAGGCCAATCAACTCAACTTCAATCACCGATCCTCATACCCGCACCGACGATCCCGGCCGTCGCGTGCTAACTCCCACCACTGCGATCGTCACCCCGCTGTCGCAAACTCGACACGGTTCACCCAGATCCCACAGTCCGTCGTGGGGATCCAGCGCGCAACCGGTCAGTCTATCATCAGCCCGATAGGACTTTCCGGCTCGCGTCAAACACTCTGCCTAGCCACTGCTTCCTGGAAGCTGGCTTGAGAGTCGAGAACGTAAGAAAGATTTGCGGACGTGCTTGCGGGTTTTATAGTTGCGATAGGGGAGATAGAAGGGGGAGAAGGTGACGAGAAAGCTAAGGTGTAAGAGAAGAAGCAGGAGGAGAAGACTTTGAGAGGAGTGCCATACGAACGCCATGTTGATCCCTCGAAACTCAAGGCTCAACCAATCAGATTCGTCGTGCAATAGGAAGGTCCTATTGATCCGCGCACCTGATTGGCGAGCGGGAGTTATTGATGGATCGACCGGGCGTCGTGCGCCAGACTCAGAGGAGGAGAAGAGAAAAGGCGCGAGAAGTAGCGCAAGACGGGTCCAAGATTCAGATGATCAAGAAAGGGAAATGGGCACGCAAAAAGCAGGGCGGGAGAGAAAGAGAGAGAGAGAGAGGAAAAACAGTTACGGGGAGAGAGAAAAAGGAGGGAGAAGGGGAGGGAGGCACGGGAGGGAGCGAGGCGGGGGACAGAGAGGAGAAAGCTCGGCATACGCGGTGCCGTCAACAAAAAGCGAGAAAAAAACACCAAAACAGTTACAGCCTAATTCAATATTGAAATCATAATATCCGCGCGCAAAAAAGCGACGCGGGAAAGGAAAACTCTACGCCTATTCGTATTCGCGCAAAATTCCGAGAGTTTTCCCCGACGCGACCAAGAACATTCACACATACGAAAAGGACACGTCGAAGTTTCGCTTATCCCGGAATTCCCAACCGCCGAGCCCAATTCCCCGTGCGATTGCTAAGGCGTACGTAAATTCCCATGTATTTCCCGACTTGCAAAAAGGAAAAACAGAACCCGAAAATCGAAAAGGCTTCCAGAAAAAAACGAAATGCAGCATCCGAAAACAAGAAACCGAAAAGGGGGTTCTTAATGGGTTTGATATGGTACATAAACAGGGGTACGAAAGATAGCATGGGTTCGGGAAGTGGTTCGTCACATATGTGACGCGCAGGGGGTTCCAAAACTATGCGATCTCCTGATTGCATGTCATGGCGGAAGAGGAAAGAGAAAGAGGGAGAACAGAGTGATGCATGAGGAACCAAACACATCAGCAAGGCTTCCAGAAAAAACACAAGGGGTGGTAACTAAGCCGCGGATGAGATGGCGACAACATCCGTGGCAAGGCCTCCGCGGCCCTGTCATATGCAACCCCCTGCCCTGTAGAGATCGTCCAGGTGACGCCATCATGGTCCGCCTGATCTCCGTGTGCTCTACACCCCAGCTCGTTGTTGCCCGTCGAATCAGAGCGTAGGTTGACGTCATCGTCGATGGCAGGATCTCCACGAAGCTTACGGATTCGTGCGGATGAGGAGAGAAGGGGGAGGGGGGTTATGTGATCGGGGCCTACCGCCTAGTTGGAATAGGCCAGTAGAGGCGGTACATGGAGGGGGTCTCGCGGGGATGACGGGGAGGAAGTGGGGGAAGGAAGCGATTCATCCCTTCCATTGTTACCGGGAGCTCCTCATATCGGATGATCCGGTGGAAGTGGGGGAAATGATCGCCGTTGCGGGGGAGGGAAGCGAGGTAGTCGCGGTAGAAGGAGGAAAGGGTGCGGAAGAGCGCCGCCCGAAAGATCTCGAAGTGGCGGCAAGCGGGGATTGTCCCCGTGGCGATGCAGTAAACCTCTACCACGTTGCATCGCTCCCATGCAGCGCTGAACAGCAGGAGGTGCCAGCAGAACGTGGGGGCAACAGATTGAAGGGAGGCGTGGGGTGGACGGTGGCAAGTAGACGGGTAGAGTAGAAGTCGCGGAAGAGATGGGGGTGGAAAGGATGGGAGGGGAAGGTGACGGAGGTACAGATCTGCTCAAGGGTGAGGAAATCAAGGGGTCGGCGGGACAACGATCAAGGACGAAGGCCTATTGCCCGCATTGGTACGTGGGCGAACTGGGGGACGAGTAGGGCTGGGGGAGGAGGGGGATCGGCTCCGTCTCCGTCGCGCGGTACTTGAAGTGGCGGCTGCAGGGTCGCCATCTTCGGGATTCGGCGGCTCTGGGTCCCTGGTCGGATCGTTGCCGATGCGCAGGCTAGCTTGGATGGCGAACTCCAGCTGGCGCTTCCTGGTGGCAATTTCTTCGCGCCTTCGCGCCGCTTCCGGATCTTCCGCCTCCGTTCCCGTGCGCGTCGCTTCTTCCGGCAAGGCTTCCCACTCGGACCCGGCTTCTTCTTCTTCTTCTTCTTCCTCACTCAGCTCACCCTCGCTATGTTCACTATAGCTTCCCTCCTCCGATGTTTCCTCGTCGTCGTCATCGTCGATCACCACTTCCTCTGCCCTTGGATAGAAGGCGTGAGGGATGATCTCGTACGGCTTTAGATACTCATGTCGCGATGTTAACGTATCCTCGTCCCTAGGTTCCTCCAAACACGCGCTCCACTGAAGGTACGGGTCCAATGATTGCTCGAAAATGTACGGAGCAGGACTGTTGTCACTCTGAAAATAGATGTCGGGCGAGAGATCGTCTGCCAATTGCACGATCGGTGCGATAAGCTCCTGCGCAATCAGGTGGCGTCGACCCGGCCGTACCCATCCGAAGAGAAAGCCAAGAAGATCTTCTTCCTCGTTAGTCCTCCAAGCCTGTATGATCAGCAGCTCCGGATTCTCGATCCACGTGGGATGCTCACTAGTGCCCGTCCACGTCACCTGTACTCCGTCCAGGCAGAAAGACAACTCCTCAAACGTTTCGCGCCACAACCGCCAATGTCCAGGATTGATAAGAGGGACTGAAAGATGCTCGAATGAGAAGGAAAGGGAAGGGTGAAGATCGGATTGCCAGAAGGTGGGGAAGAGAGAGGGGAGAGCAAAGATAGAGAGAGGCGCGAGGAGATCGGCGTGGTTCATTGGGGATGTGGGAAGAGGACGAGGGCTGGGATCGCAACTGGCCGCTCGCATGGTGATCGACGAATATTGTCTAGATCCGATGTAAAGATCGGGATGATGTTATACCCTTGCCGGACGAGGACGTGCTGCCACTCGTTGGACACTTGTTCCGTCGACGTGCGTAGCGAGGTCAAGATCGCAGTATGCCACAGCAGATTGATCGAGCTGATGTCGCCGGTGAATGCCACCACCGTGGTGACGTGGCTCGTCCTGGGACCTGCTCGCTGATGAACTGCAGTTACCTCCGCGAATAGCACTGCGTGAGGACTTCCTTCGATCCGAAATGCGGCGGCGGCACAGATACCTTCGTCGCAGAAGAATTGCGTCAGACGCCGAAGATCCGCATTGAGCCGAGGGTGACAAACTTGCCGAATCTCTGAGATGTGGCCACGTGGCTGCAACAGCTGCGCGTCAAGAACCCGCTCCGTGATAAAACTCATGGCGAGGTGGGAGAGGAGGACGAAGGACAAGAGGGAGAAAGAGGAGAGAGAGGTAGATCGTCGTCGTTCTCCTCGCTTTCTGAGGAGGAAGAGGGAGGAAGATCAGAAGGAGGAAGAAGACGGAGGTAGGAGGTATGTGGGATGATGGGGACAGAGCTATGGCTGGCACTAGCCTCAGGCACGATGCGCACTGTGTTGGCGCCGTTGGGTCCGAGTTCAACAACGCGAAAACAGCCAGAGAACTTGGGAACGAGTTTCCGGTCGCGTGCACATTTACGTACCTGCACTAGGGCCCCTAATTTATATTGGTACTGGGGCCCAGCATTTCCATTCCGGGCCTCGTAGCTACGGACCTGCCTACCGTGGGCCACTTCGGTCATCCTTTGACTTTTTCGCGCTAGCTTCGGGACGGCCCGTTCCATTAATTCGGTGTACCTTTTGGCCTTGGCTTTGAGAGCTGCAGGCGTGTCTCTACCCCTTGCTTCGGCAATTTCCGAGTTACCCCAGTAATTGATACAGGGGAGGCTATTAGTTCGAAGCTGAAAGGGGGCAAACCCCGTAGACTCGTGAAGGGTGGCCCGGTGGATTCCGACGATCTGATATACGATCTCGGGCCACGGACGCGTGTCATGTGCTGCTAAGTTCCTGCGAAGGGCGGTTTTAATCATACGGTTGACATTCTCAGCCAACCCGTTCGACTGGGACACGTGGGGTGCCGTGTGTCAGAGCGTGACGCCCCTTCGTGCAAGCAGTTCCTCTACCTCACCTTTGAATTCCGACCCATTGTCAGATAGAATTTCTTCCATATCTAGATGGGTATAGAGGAATCGTTCGATGACCGTGGCTATTTCTGCGGCCTTTCGGGTCTTACAGGGATAGACTTCGATGTATTTGGAAAAATGGTCAATTAAAACTAACAGGATAAAATATTCACAGCGGTTTGGGGCAGGTGGCACGTCAATATCTGCCGTGTCCATACTGACTCGCTGGAAAGGACGCTCTACTTCCGTTGGTACGATCGTGTTTGGTCCCCGTATAGGGACACGATCAGCGGCACAGACCAGACAGTTAGCGATAATGTACTTGACATCATCTCGTATATTAGACCAGAACCATCGGTTCTGGTCTACAGTTGCCTCTGTGACACGTATTGCAAAATGAGCGGCCTGTTCTTCGTGAGCGGATCGGATCCAATCGTATCTCTGGAAGGGATCGGGAACCGTCAACCACGAACCTGATCCGTCAGTTTTACGCTTTTCCAACTGACCGTTGATCCATCGACAGTCCCGAGATCTCTCGGTTGCCCTACGTCTGTCGTGTTTGGTGAGGTGGCCCAATGATAATCCCGCTAATTTTGCTAATAAAATTTTATCCGTCCAGACCTCCGCTCGTCGGTATTTTTCGTCGTATTCACGGCCGTCCATACGGGCGGCCTCGAATCGAACCTCCGTGGGGAGCTTGTTCGTTCTACACAGGGGGCACCTTCATTCCTTGCTACTCGTCCGATATCGAACGCAGGCCCCGTGCGCAGGGTTGACACACGTGGCACATTCTACCCAATCGACAAATCTGGTCTCGAAGGGATGACAGTCGACCTCATAAACTCGTGCAATACACGTGCAAAAATAGCAGAACTTATCGGGGAGGGTGGCGAAAAAAGCGGAGGACGTGAAAGGGGCAGAATTAGTAGGAGTTGAAGGGGTTGCGGAGGCGAGTGGGGTAGTCATGATGACAAAGGGGGAGAGATGGGACTGACTTGTGGATGGAGTGGAACAGGCAAATTAGTCCTCGTGCCACTTACTGATTCGACAAAATCTCCACTTGGCCGTACCGGGGTCCAACCTCCTGTTTAGGCTCGTTCCACGGAATCACCTCCTCATTCTTCGGAACTTTCTCAGGCCGGTGCAGCCGTGTCAGTCCGTCTGCATTCCCGTGTCTCTCGTGCTTCCGATGACGAATGTCAAAGTCCATGCTTTGCAGCACCGTTGCCCATCGTCCGATCATGCCCGAGTAATCCTTCCACTTCTTCAGAGCCAACAGGGGCTCATGATCAGTCACCATGGTGAATCTTCGCCCGTACAGGTAAGCACGAAAGTGACTGATTCCCCAGAGAGCCGCATAGCATTCACTCGTTTGAGCGGCGTAGTTGCGCTTGCAGGCGGGCACTGATTTGGACGCATACTCCACCACACTCTCGAGTCCGCTTGGTCCCACCTGGGCAAGGATCGCCGAAATCGCCTCTGGCTGCCAGTCAGTGATGAGAACGAAAGGTTTTTCGGGATCCGGTCTTATAAGGACCGGAGGCGAAATGAGAGCGGCCTTGAGTGTGGAAAACGCTTGATCGCATTCCGACGTCCAGATCAACGGCTGATCCTTGCGCAACAGATTTGTGAGGGGTCCCGCAATCACCGCGAAGCTCTTGATAAATCTTCGGTAGTACGAGGCTAGGCCCAGAAAGGCGCGAACTTGCGTGATAGTCGTAGGCACCGGCGCGTCCCTGACAGCTGCCACTTTCTGCAGTTCCGGTTGGAGTCCCTTGTCCGCCACCACGTGCCCTAGGAAGGAAATGGTGGTGAGGAAAAACTGACACTTCTCAAGTGCCACTTTGGAACCTGCATCTCGTAACGCATGCAGTGCCCATTCAATGTGTTGCACGTGTCCCTCGTAGGAACTTGAATACACCAGGATGTCATCCATGTACACAATCACGCAGTAGTTGATGATGCTCTGCGCCAAACGAGTCTTCCTTACGAAATTCTGAAAAGCCATGTTCATGGCCCGCTGAAAGGTCGCAGGGGCATTGCAGATACCCATCGGACATCGAATCCACTGCCATGTACCTTCGAAAAGCACGAACGTTATTTTCGGACGATCTTCCTCACGAACAAGAAGGTGATGAAACCCATGGCGAACATCAAACTTGCTGAAAAATCGAGCACTCCCAATCGCATCCAGCAACTCATCAATCCGGGGGAGGGGATACACATCTTTGATCGTGATATCGTTCAATTTTCGATAATCAATGCAAATCTGAATCCCTCCAGCCTTTTTAGGTACGATCACCACAGGGAAAGACCATGGACCTATAGCAGGCTCGATCCATCCATTAGCTTCGAACTCCTTAATCCGCTGAGAAGCGGCAGCTCTTTGAGCTGGCGAGTATCGGTAGGGAGCGCAGCTAATGGGTGGATGATCTCCCGTGAGAATGGCATGCTCGATCACATTAGTTAATGCGATGTCGTTATCGTGTACGCTCAATACTTCTTCGTAGCCGTTTAACACTCGAATTAACGATTTCCGAAGTTCCGCGGGAACTTGACCTGGCAAGGTGATTGTTGATTCCCCAAAAATCTTAAGGGGTATATCGATCCAATCAACCGGCTGTTCCCGTCGATCATGGACACTAGAAAAAACGGAACTACTGGTGCGAACAGAGAAGACAATTACTATAATCTGGGACTCAGCAGGGCGCATCATCTTTGTTCCTTTAGTTTCAGCGTTAGTTTCTGAACCAACCGAGGTCGGCTCCGCAATTAGCCCTGTTAGATCTGTCATTTCTTGCATGAGATTAGGTACATCATTTACCGGTGCTTCCGCCTCTTGTTTAATCAAGGCGATGGTGGCTCCTGTCGTTAGTAACGATCGGGGTGGAAAAACAGAAACGTCTACATACTGTTCCGTTTGCTGATAACGCGTCCGTAAGGAGAAAGCTCCCTCGTACAAGGTGCGAGGGGGTTCCAAATCATCAGCCAGATCGGAAACTTGCAATATGGGTTCCTTTAGGAGGACTGAAGGACTGACCTGGGTTGTTAGAGGCGTGAATGCACTGTCTTCGGAATCCACGGGGAAGTTTCGGGCGGTGTCGGGGCACACCTGAAATTCTTCGGGGGTTTCATGTTCGAAAAATTGAACAAGATGCTTCCATTCTTCTTCGCTAGGCATCTCTTCTTCATGTTCTTGTTCCCTGATTTCATCCCCGAGGCGCGAGGGAGAGCATTCGTCGAGATCAATGTATCGGATCATCCCTATTTGGGCCGGGTCAGGGACCCGTTTCATCGTTTGGGTGGAAACTCACAAAGGAACAGTTTGAGGTTTTCCTCCAGTTTGTGTGAGCACCAGTTGCTTCGAATCGAAATGCTGACGTGCACCTACCGCCATCGCCCAAGATAATCCCAACAACACAGAATAGGAACGTACATCTATTACGAGCGCGTTAACAAGGACGTATACTCGTCCAACTTTTACGACCACATTCTCGATAATGCCTACGATGTTCATTGCTTCCTCGTCGGCAGAGACATAATTGTCTTTGCCAGATTGAGGAAGAATGAATCCCAGTCGTCCCGTTTTTTTGACAGTATCCAATGATATGGCCACGACAGAAGACCCTGTGTCACATTCCGCACTTTTCCAGTCACATTCCGCATTAAACGGTTTGCCCCAAACTTCACAGTCACATTCCGCACTTTTCCACAATACCGGTCGAGCTCGTACGAAGTGATCTTTTTCTGCTAAAGAGATCGCTGCTATGCGTGCGGCTTCGGGTTCCGGCTCTTTCGTGTCAGGCTCAAGGGGTTCAACTTCCTCGCTTTCTTCTTTCTTCTTCAACAAACAGCCATTTCGTCAAAACGGACATATTATATTTTTTGAACGAAATCAAAACTGGCTTTTTTTGCCAAAATCCGGTCGGAATTTTTTGCTCATGGGGGTCCGGCGTTCCCAAAACGCCGGACCCCTCTAGTCTATGGTTGAGACCAGATACAGACCAGATACAAAAAAAAAAAAAAAAAAAAAAAAAAAAAAAAAAAAAGGGATCAACCAATAACCCGGGGGGCCCCGGGTTTGAAAAAACACCAACCCCCAGGGGAAAAATTTTTCAAAAAAAAAAAATTTTTTTTTTTTTTTAAAAAAAAATTTTTTTTTTTTTTTTTATAAGGGTTTTTTTTTTGATTCTTTATTTTTTTTTTTTTTTTTTTTTTTTTTTTTAAAGTATCTGGTCTCAACCATAGACCAGGGGGGTCCGGTGTTTTGGGAACGCCGGACCCCCAGGAGCAAAAAATTCCGAAAACAGTCAGTTTTGATTTCGTTCAAAAAATATAATATGTCCGTTTTGACGAAATGGCTGTTAACATCCGTCGTATGCGTTGATAGGTGAAACGGTTTTGATTTTTCTGGCAATGTTGTAGAAACTTATCGTTCGCCACTTCAGATATGGTGAGCAGATGTCCCACTGGGATGGGCACGCGAATATCTAGTTGCTTGAGCGTTTTCAGTACATCAATGTCTCCTGTCCGAAACTGTGGTCCAGGATTGGATTCCTAATCGACCCACTCGAGATCATCCAGGACCGATCGGATTGCTCCGATCATGCCTGCAAGATGAAGGTATTCGAGTGGATCAACTATGTCGGCAGCGTCAGAGGAGGAAGCTCCTGATGTCGACGCCAGTGCCGTCGAAGGGGAAGGCTGCTCGGGGGCGTATGCCACGAGCTCTCTTCCTAGATCCGTATCCATCAGAGCGGCCACTCGTCCTTGATTAAGGGCGACGGGGGCCGCAGCAGGGGGAGGCTGATTACGTTTCGGCTGCGGACAGTCCCGGGCAAAATGCCCCGGGCAAAATGCCCGGGCTGTTTGCAGTTAAAGCATTCGATCTTCCCTACTGGATGAGGAAACTGGGGCACAAACCTTGGAGTAGGTGGGGCAGGTAAGAGTGGAAACGATGCAGGGGCGGGCCGAGCAGGCGCTGGGTTAGGCTTAATGAGTCGGCTCATTATTTGTTCCATTCGTTCCATATGAGCGGCCTGCATTTGGATCAGGTTGCTCATCCATTCGGACTGCTTGGTAGTGGCCGTATGAATCATCTGGGCAAGGTGTAGATTGGTTACGGCCGACGAGGGGGGTTTGGATGAGATTCCACTTTTAACGGTTGTGATCGATTGATTCACCGGGGGAGCGGGAGGAGAAGCAATTGGGATGTCGGAAACGATCCCTCCTGGAAGGTCATGGTCGGGGCGGGGATAAAACCGTTCGACCGCCTGCAACCATGATCGCCTTTTTGTCGTTATATCCCGTATTGTATCTGTAATGTCTTCATCTCCCTGGCTGATATATTTTTTTGTATCAGCCAGATCCAATTCCAATGCTTTAGTGATGATAGTCGATAACTGGTGCGCCTTTTTCTGTAATTTCCCTTTCAGTGTCGAACTTCGTAGGTGGTCGATGAACAAATCTCGAGCGGATTTCTCATCCCGCCCGGATTTGTCCAACGTGGTTTGAAACCGGTCGACAAAATCGGGCAACAATTCCCCTGGTCCTTGAGGTCGATTTTTGAGTACATACCAGGCGGCATCTTCACTAACGGTATTGAATCGAGCCAAAAAGGCTTGCTTGAAGGTAGCCCAATCTACACACGCATGTTTCCTAAACCAGTCACGGGATGTGTTGCGAAGTAGCAATGTCAGAACACGGGGGAGGTCAGCTGCGCTGTAGTTCTGAGCTTCGACAGCTTCCAGCCAACCCTCGGGATGAGTATGGTTAGGGAAGAAGGAGAAGGGGGTAGGGATACTAACGATCACCCTAGTACCGTCCACCATTGGTATTGCTGGTGCAACCGCACTAGACTGAGACCTGGTTACTGGGCGATCCCGACGAGTTAGTTGAGGGTCTCTCCTTGTGCTCGTCCTCGCTCCTTATTCGGTAGTGGAAGCCCTTCGCTTTGTAGCGATCGAAACGCTGACACTCTGTGCACAGGGTTTGAGGCCAATGGGGTGCCACTGCCGTCCACGTGATAACGATTAGTTCGTTACAGGGGAGCAATATTGAGTAGGGTGGGAAGTGTGTGTCGACAATAACAAACCCAGCCTCCACGAACCCTGAACAACGGTTTGCCGGGGGGAAGTAGTATCGCCCGCCGATCTGCGCGACAGGTTCTCGTACGTCCCACGCGCATACACGTGTCCTTTCCTCGTTGTAGGGAAAAGGTCGTGTGGGTACGGGAGGTACGAGAGGCTGACGCCCGATCGGAGGGTACTTGTAAGTCCACATATCAATCACGAGGAGGAAATAATCCTTAATCAATCCTTTTCTGCTAAAGAAGGGGCAAAAACACTCGTCAGTTTAATCATGCATGCAACTGACGGGACCGATCGCGGGTCAACTTTAGTTAGCCAGCGCGATGTTGATTCCTGGCGCCTTGTTTCTCGAGGCCGCCTCGTGGGTCGGCTACTGATGCTGGACAGCATAAGGCAGATGGCATGCGCAGTGCACTCAGAGCTACAGATCTAAACACTCTTGCATTCTCGGACAAAATCCCGACGACAATCGTCTAATAAAAAAGGGTCACACGTCTCTATGCATGCATAGGTGCGAAAATGAGACATGTACAAGGAAGGATAGATCGCATTGCATAGTACAGACGCATCCACCGTTCACAAGACAAGAAGACAGGGTCCTTGCATAGGAGGATTACCCAGGAAACTAATGGAAGAGTTCCAGAAGAAGTTCTTTCACCCAGAAACAGGATGCAAACTCATTCCCATTCAGGAGAGGGACAATCATTCAGACGCATCATCCTTCAAAAAGAGGAAGAGAAAGAGAGAGAAAGAGAGAGTCGAGGGAAAGAAAATCAAAATAGAAGATGACAAGATCCGGAAAGAGAAAAGTTTGGCGTTGTAGCCGTACACTCACGCCAAAGATAATAATCCGCAACAACGGCGCGTTCGCTGTTAATTCCAATATGGCCCCGGGCCAATCAACTCAACTCCAATCACCGATCCTCATACCCGCACCGACGATCCCGGCCGTCGCGTGCTAACTCCCACCACTGCGATCGTCACCCCGCTGTCGCAAACTCGACATGGCTCACCCAGATCCCGTAGTCCGTCGTGGCGATCCAGCGCGCAACCGGCCAGTTTATCGTCAGCCCGACAGGACTTTCCGACTCGTGTCAAACACTCTGCCTAGCCACTGCTCCCCGGAAGCTGGCTTGAGAGTCGAGAACGTAAGAGAGATTTGTGGACTCGCTTGCGGGTTTTATAGTTGCGACAGGGAGATAGAAGGGGGAGAAGGTGACGAGAAAGCTAAGGTGTAAGAGGAGAAGCAGGAGGAGAAGACTTTGAGAGGAGTGCCATACGAACGCCATGTTGATCCCTCGAAACTCAAGGCTCAACCAATCAGATTTGCGGCGCAATAAGAAGGTCCTATTGATCCGTGCACCTGATTGGCGAGCGGGAGTTATCGATGGATCGACCGGGCGTCGTGTGCCAGACTCAGAGGGGGAGAAGAGAAAAGGCGTGAGAAGTAGCGCAAGACGGGTCCAAGATTCAGATGATCAAGAAAGGGAAATGGGCGCGCAAAAAGCAGGGCGGGAGAGAAGGAGAGAGAGAGAGAGGAAAAACAGTTACGGGAGAGAGAAAAAGGAGGGAGAAGGGAAGGGAGGCGCGGGAGGGAGCGAGGCGGCGGACAGAGAGGAGAAAGCTCAGCATACGCGGTGCCGTCAACAAAAAGAGAGA